TCTAAAAAGCTAGGAAATATGAGATGTATATAATGAGAAGTGTTGGTACTTTTGCATTGTTAGGCAATCAGTTACCCTAACTGTGCTCTTGCTATGAAAATAGAGAGTTTGCTTACTTCATACGGGCCAGATTACAGCAGCTGGGCATGGTGCTTTCTGGGCAAGTCTAGGAGGCCCACTTGTTTGATCACTCTTTCTGTTTCGGTTTTTGGGGTTTGTTTGTTTTTTTTTGTTGTTGTTGTTTGGCCATTTGGTATTTTCGATATTTTATGCTTCACTTTCCATGATCTTTTTAAAATTACATATATTAAAATGTTAACCAACAGAAACCTGAAAATGTTGTGCAGGTCATCTCTGGGTCAGCCAGGCCCCATTCCTCAGCAGTGACCATGGCTACTAAGTCATCAAACTTCTACCTTTTACTTTTTGGTGGGGCAGGGGGAAGGGCAGAGTTAAAGAGAGGAGAGACAAAGAAAAGGATCTTCCGTTTTCTGGTAAACTTCCCACATGACTGCAGTGGCTGAAGCTGAGCCAGTCAGGAGCCAGGAGCTTCTTCCCAGCCTCCCATGTGGGTCCAGCCTGTTAACAGGGAACTGGATCAGAAGTGAAGCATCTGGCACTGGAACCAGTGCCCACATGGGATACTGGCATTGCAGGTGGAGGACTGGCACCTCATTCTCCTTTTCTCTCTCCTCTTACTTTCTCACTCTGCCTTTCAAATAAATATTTATTTTTGAGATTTTAAAGAAATGTTTATATTTGGAGAGCAGTTTCAAGGTGTTCATTACACTGTGCCATAAAAGAACTTCATGTGAAGGTTTTGAGAAATATTACCTAAATGTAAGACTAAGTTCATTGATTTAAGTTTTCATAGTACAAAAGAAACTACTGTGACCTATTAGAGATCCTCGGCTGCCATGTCCTGTGCAGCCATCAGGCTTCCCCCAATTCAGGCAAGGCCATTGCTTGCCCTGAGTTGCTGCCATTCCTGGTGCAGTTATAGCTTCAATAGGCCTGACACCTGTTAACCAAAGTCCATAGTCATGACTTTGATATAGTATGACAAAAAGTTTGTCTCTTCAAAATAGTGAGTTGGGTCTGGCATGGTAGCTCAGTGGCTAAAGTCCTTGCCTTGTATGCTCCGGGATCCCACATAGGTGCCAGTTCTAATCCCACTAGCCCCGCTTCCCATCCAGCTCCCTGCTTGTGGCCTGGGAAAGCAGTTGAGGATGGCCCAAAGCTCTGGGCCCCTGCACCCACATGGGAGACCTGGAAGAGTCTCTGGACTCCTGGCTTTGGATTGGCTCAGCTCCAGCCGTTATTGTGGCCCCTTGGAGAGTGAATCAGTGGATGGAAGATCTTCCTCTCCTCCTCTCATGTATCTGACTTTGCAATAAAAATAAATCTTTAAAAAAGAAAGTGACTTGTAGCAGGCCCTTAGCTGTGGCCTGTCAGGGTGCTTGGGCTTGAGCCCTGACTCTACTTCTGATTCTAGCTTCCTGCTACTGTGTAGCCTGGGAGGCAGTAGTCGAGGTTTCAAGTAACTGGATCCCTGCCTCCCACATGAGAGACCTGAGACTGTCTCCCCAGCCCCTGGCTTTTGGCGCTGTTCAGCCATGATTGGGGGCGGGGGATATTTTGGCAGTGAACTAATGCATGCAGATAGCTCTGTTTCTCATATGCTCATGTGCTTGCTTTTTCTCTTCCTCCCTCCTCTTCCATGGGCTGGCTTTCCCGGCTGGTTTACTCCCTTATGGCATCCTTCATTGGTTTCTCACCAGAAGTACCACATGTCATCTTCCACACTATTTTGATTGTTGGGAACCAGTGACACAGATTGCAGGGTCAGATGTCCAATTGAAAAGGCTGTCCCCACTCTACCAATTTTCTAACCGGTAGTGCGTTTCTGCAGTCACCAGGCCTTAGTGTGCCACACCATCTGCCAGTCCCGCCTGATTTGGAGTCTGCTCAGACTGATTCAGAAGCCAGCAGGGCTGCACGTGGGGCCTAGCCATAGGGAAGTGCTGCAGCTGATCCTGTCCCTGTTCTCCCTCCACAGATGTAACCAGTGCAGTGCAATCCAAGCGGAGAAAATCCAAGTGAACCAGCTGGACGGCGACTTGATACTTGTAAATGTGTGTGAATTTTACAAAGAGCAACTTTGAGCTGTGACTTTTTAAAATCCATTTCTGTACAGTTAATCATTTTAATAATGTGGCCCTTTTCCTAGTCCCTGCAACCTGTTTTCATAAAGTACAAAGGGGGAAGCAGGGCAATTGAGCCCTTCAGTGTTTTGAGATGAAGGTCAAGTTTTCTAAAATGTTGCCATGTATTGTGAGGAGCTAATACCATTGTAAATGTTATTAGTTTTCCCATTTCCTAAGCAACCTAGAGTACAGGGTGAGCATTTTTAGGTCTCTTAATGATGTATTGTGCTGTGGAAGTGTACTGTGTGTGACTAGCAGTAGTGGGGGCAAAAGCAATCTTCTCATTTGGAAATGTTGTAAATAATTTTATTATATAGTGTTTTGGATGTATTTGTTGTAGAAACGGACCAGTGAATAAAAAGAATCTAAGGATTTGTACAATGTGAAATACTGAATGTGTTTAATAAATGTCATTGTCATAGAACATGAAGGTATGTTATTGACAAGGAATTATTGGGGGAACAGGCCCTTCAGACCCTAAATTAGTGAGCAGTGCTGCCTTTGAGAATTTTTTTTTAAAGATTTTTTTTTTTTCCATTGGAAAGGCGGATATACAGAGAGGAAGATCTTCCGTCCGATGATTCACTCCCCAAGTGAGCACAACGGGCCGATACTATGCCGATCCGAAGTCAGGAGCCTCTTCCGGGTCTCCCACACAGGTGCAGGTTCCCAAAGCTTTGGGCCGTCCTCGACTGCTTTCCCAGGCCACAGGCAGGGAGCTGGAAGGGAAGCGGGGCTGCCGGGATTAGAACCGGCGCCCATATGGGATCCCGGGCGTGCAAGGCGAGGACCTTTAACCACTTGCGCCACTGCGTCAGGCCCAGCCTTTGAGAATTTGATTCCCATCTTTTCCCGCTACACCTGAGATGCTCTCCATAGCAACAGCAAGCTGAGGAAAATGTACGCATCTGTTAACAACTCACATGTGCCCTTTGAAGAAACTAGCCCTGTTCACATCACACTGTCTCACACTAGGTTGTGTGATATATATTAGCCAAACTGCTTTTGGTTGTAAATGATGGAATCAACCTGGAGGATCAGAGGTCTCCAGGATTTTTAAAAAATATTTTTATTAGAAAAGCAGATATGCAGAGAGGAGGAAACACAAAGATGTCCAATGGTTCACTCTCCAAGCTGCCCGAAAGGCTGGAGCTGAGCCAATATGAAACCTGGAGCTTCTTCCAGGTCTCCCAAGCAGGTGCAGGGTCCCAAAGCTTTGGGCCGTCCTCAACTGCTTTCCCAGGCCACAAGCAAGGAGCTGGATGGGAAGCAGGGCTAGTGGGATTAGAACTGGCACCCATATGGGATCCTGGTGTGTTCAAGGTGAGGACTTTAACCACTCTCACACAGGGCCTACATTCTCGTGCAGGGCCGGTCCCCAGGATTTTTTAGAAACAAACAGCTGTCAGCAATCTAGATGCACCTGCTCTCCCATCACTTCCGTATCATGGATTGCGCCGAGACATCAGCGTTTACACCTGCTCCAACCAGGAGCTGAGACCAGACTGATGTGCAAGACTGGCCAGCAGCAAGAACCCATTTCAGCTGGACGGCCTTCCTGCTTGGTCTTGTTGCTGTGTTTGGGTGGGCACCTCTCATTAAACGGGGCATTCTGCATCAGACAGCAGAGATTCCCAGTTCACCCTACTCTTTGGCTGCTGTGTTTCTCCCAGAGGGAACTTCATCTCATCAACATGCCCAGGATGTTCCCATTGCTGCCTCAATTCTTCAAAATTTGTATGAAGTCCAGGGTCATCTATTTTTGTCCCTGTCCTCCCCCAGCCTTCAAGAACTCCAGTGCTTTTCTCAGCCTGGGGCCTCGGCCTTTTGCTGTGTCTTAAAGGACTTGAGTTATGTTGTGAATTAAGGAGTTAATTAGCATTTATTAAACTAAGCAGTAACAGGAAATGGGCTTGTGGCTAAAAGCACCTGGACTAATGGGACTCACTGGCATCCTATTTTTGGCTAAAGGGCTTGGGGAAATAAAGGGAGGCTTCGGAGAGACTTCTACCATCACTGGTCTCCTGTCGGTGCTTCATCCCCAGACTGTGTCCTCCTGGCTCTGCTGGCTGGAGCAGGGTTATGCAAGGAGTCCTCAGAAAGCTCATGGAAAATTAGTATTATTTAAAAAAAGAATGCTTCATTCTCAAAAAAATTTTTTTTTGCACCAGAACCAGTGTTGTGGTATAATGGGGTAAAGCCACCTATTTGTGTCCTGGCTGCTCTAGTTCTGAGCAAGCTCCTTGCTAATGTGCCTGGAAAAGCAGTGAAAGATGGCACAAGTGCTTGGGCCCCTGTACCCACATGGGAAACCTAGATGAAGCCCCTATCCCAGCACAGGACATTGTGGTTTCAGAAATCAGTACATAAAAGATCCTCGCTTCCTGTCTCTCTTTTACTTTGCCTATCAAATAAAACTTTAAAAATTTTTACATGAAAAAAATAGCTTCAATTTTTTTTCCCCATGAACTTTTTGAGGTTCCCATCATTCCTTCCTGTTCAGTGGTTCCTTGCCCCTGCCATAATCCAGTACCTGAGACCAGAAGAGTGAGTTGGTGATTGTCTCTATGCTCTGATTTAACCATCTTTATGTGTGTCCTTTATTCTAAGGATCCTCTACATGTAGCTATGAGTCACTTCACACATTGGCTGTGTTCCCAGTAATCATATCTACCCTCTCCCTCCTTCTATGATGCACTCCCCAAAGCCAAAGCCAGCTAAGTAAAAATACCTTATGCCAGGGCTGTGCTTGAAATTACACAAATGTGAATTCAACTCAGGTGGAAAGCATAATGTGCTTTAAATAGATTTTTATTTGTTTTTCTTTATATTAATTTTTTTCTCCCATATAGGAACAGCATTACATTTACAGTCTAACAATCAGAATCCTGTTACACACATACACAGGCATGCCACAGGACCAGGTCAAGGCGGTCATGCCCTTGAATCTGTTGACACATCATAACATGGTCAACCAGAGTCTCCTCGTCTCAGCCAGTCTCAACACAAAACACCCAACAGGGATGCACTCAACTTGGTTCCATTTGGAACTGGGTGGCAGGGCAAAAGGGAAAGTACTAGAAATGGGCCGTAGTTTGTTTGCATTCAGTCCCTGCCTATAAAGCCCACATGGAGCTGGGAAAGCATCCAAGGACTCTGGCAGGGTCCTCGCTGCCCCTAAGACATTGGGGTCAGAACAGGTATCCAGGGGAGTCATCCAGGGGGCTGGGGAGCAGGCATACTCCAAACTGCTCATACACACACATACACACACACATGCACGCACGATGCCCTCTTAGGCCTAGACTGGCAAAGGCTAGAAAGTGACAGCTTGAGGGAACCACTCAGACTCAGTGGAGAACAATGGGGAAGTAACCCTCTAACGTAAATGGGATTCACTTTCGAAAGGTCTCTGACATCCTCAGTTTTGGCAAGGTGCTGGTAGCATTAATATTAACACTCGCCAACTGACTCCAACTTCTCCAGGGGTTCTGGAAATACCCAGTCAGGGACAGACTCTTATCCCCTCCTGTCTAAGGTTGCATAGGACTTTGAATTCTGGTTCCCTCAGGTATTCAAGTTCTGTGGTTTAAAAAAAAAAAATCCTGAAGCATGCTCAAGGTGAAAGGCACATACACAGTCAATACAGTATGACAAGGCCTGATGCTTCAGGAGTCAGACAAGCAGGAGACCAAGTAGTGTTGATTCTTAGAAATCTATACACAATTAGAATATGGCCACACGCAAATGCTACAGAATCTAGGAAAGTACAAAAAGAGTATGACCCTTCCAACCAGCCGGTGGAAGACTAGAGAGTTCTAGAACTACAGGAGCCTCCAGAATTAGAGATGAGGGCAGAACCGTCTAATAGTTGTATCAAATGCCCTTTGTCTAGGACCGAGCTTAGGCCCCAGCTGGCAGTGTGACTAAGCAGGAGGGGTTGGAGTTTCAGCTCTCAGAAGTGCTGAAGATCCTAAGCTGGCTGGCTATACAGTGACCAAGGGACAGCTGGAAGAAGTGACAAGACTCTCACTGAAGACTCACTTCAGCCGGGAAGGCTTGTGGACAACAGTTGGAGCCCTTATGGGCTGACACGGGGTCTCTGACCTACTTTTACTGTCCATTTGGCTTATTCTCTGGGTGTATCCCCACAAGGCTTTCCCTGTCCCCATCCTGGATCCACAGAGCCATCTCCTCCCTTCCCCACACCCCACGCCCCACCCCAACAGGAAAGCCCGGCGCTGTCTGATCCAGGCAGGCAGCTTTCTTTGCCCTCATAGGAATGCAAGAGTTTTCTCCAAGTCTCAGCTCAGCTTGTGAGGCCTGGAAACCAGGAATGGGACTGCGGGGCTAGACCTATGTTCATATGTAACAGGAAGTCTGAAAAGTTTCAGGAGAAGAGCACACACTAAAAAGAGGGCACAGGAAGCAACTCAGGGCATCCCGAGAGGCCGTTGCTGGTGTTAGAGCCCGAGATTTAGCACATGGCCAAGAGGTGGGCCACTCCCTGCACCGCCCAGCCAGGCTACCTCACCAGAGTCTCCAGTAGAACCCCCAGGTACTAACTGGAGAAGGGAAGGGGAGAGCCCTCGGCCTGCAATTCTCCCCCAGCAGCCTAGAAAGGAAGAGGCTTGCTGGAGGACATGAGCAGGACCTGAAGGTCCTCGCCCCAAGCCTCCTTTCTTAGGAGTGTTTAGTCCCCACGCCCGAGCACATTGGGGGTTAGATCTGAGGCCGGAGCCCAGTGAAGGCTGGACTGTCTCCATCCACAACAGCAACCCTCAGCTTCCTTGTCCTGGGGTGCTGGTCCTCCCCAGGCCCAGAAGCCCTCTGGCCTGCACCTCTCCTCAGCCACTTCTAGCACCGTGGGCATGTGAACAGATGGCCAGGAGAGCAGGGCCTTGCCCAGCTTCTGCTCCGGAGGAGGCACATCAGGGCAAGGGTGGCAAAATGCCCCGGAAGCCCTTCAGACTAGGGGTGGGGGGAATGCAGGAGGGGGTACATGTTAGGGAAAGCTCTGAGAAGTAGGATAGCAGCAGAGGGGTGTCGGGGTAAGCTCCAGGCTCAGCCTGCAGGCAGGGCAGGGCCTCTCCAAGCCAGCACAGGGTCACCAGCTCCCACAATGCCCTCTCCCCTACTGTTTGTTTCTAGACCTGTCTCTCCTTCAACCTGTGCCTCCATGTCTGCCTCTCCAGCCAGGTGCCTCTTTCCTTTGAATCCCTCCACCTTCACCCTCGTCCCCACATTTCACTGTCCTTGTCCACATACTTGACCTTCTGCTGCCTGTGCTAGCTCCAAAGAGCCCAAACCCCCAGGGCAAAGGAAGAGGGAGTTCTCCCCCAACCAATACAGGTTGTCAGAGCTGGGCTCTGCTCGGGAGGAAGCTACTGGGAACGGGAGGGTGGGGGATGAGCCAGATCCAGGAGTGGAAAGAGGCCAAGAAGGAAAAGTAGGAATGGGGACCAGAAAAGGAAAGGGCTGGAGGTGGGGGGTGAGGCAGGAATGGGAGTGGCAAGGAGGAGTGGAGTTAAGGGGGCAAGGGGTCTGAAGCAGATTAGAGAGGTTCGAGGGTGGAGAAATAAAGAGGGTCCGGGAAGGAAGGGCTGGCACCCCACCTCACACACCCAGAGGAGGAGAGAGGTGGTGGGACTGGGCGCAAGGTTGTGGCGGCCGCCCTCCAAGCTGCGCACTAGCTGTGGCGGAGGGCCCCCCCACCCCCCCGAGACGGGGATTGGGAGAGGGTGAGGGGGGTTCATGGCGTGGCCGGCACCCGCTCAGTAGTTGAACTGGCGCTGGCACGGTTGGTAGACGAAGCTGCCCTGGTGCTTGGGCCGGCGCGGGCGGCTCTCCCGGGCGCGGTTCTGCCGCTGCACCACCTTGGCGCTCAGCGCGTGGCGCTCGGCGCGCTGCCGGGCCCGCTGCAGCCGTCGTACCTGGCCGGCCTTCTCCAGCAGCACGGCCCGCGCCGGCAGAGGAGCAGCGCCGGTGGCGGCGGCATGGTGCAGGGCACGGGGCTCGCGACGAGCGGGCGCCAGCTCTCTGCAGGGATAGAGAGCGGGGACTCAGGATGGGGCAGGCCAGGCAGGTGTCGGGGAAGACTGCATCTCTCTCCCTGGCCTCGAGTGCCGCCAGGTCAACCCGGCTCCAGTTCCGGGGACAGGTCCAAAGCCCAACAACCCGGTTCTTAACTTGGCCAAAAGCCTCTACAGACCCCACCTGCTTGGCACTCCTGCCAGCCTAGAAGACTGCAAATCCCGCCCAACTTCTCAACCGAGGCTCTCCCAAGCCCCGCCCAGAACAGAGACCACGCCTCCATCCCGAAGGCCCCTCCCACTTCCCCGAAGACACGCCCCCGGGATCCGGCTTCCAGACTTGGCCTGCTCCCCTGGCCCACTTACCCATCACTAAGGTCACCATCCCGCAGGGCAGCGTCCGGCAGCGGGGAAGGAGGCCCAGATTCCACCACTATGGTGCTGCCAGTGACGTAAACGGACATGCTGGGGTGCTCGATGAGGAGGTCCTCCAGGGGGTTGCTCTGGAGGCGGGCGGGCCCGAGGCCGGGCCCCTCTGCAGTGAAACAGGCAGGAGGGGTAACAAACCAGCTTTCGTCCATCAAGGAGGGCGCGGGCGGAGGACGGCCCACGGGGGCAGCGGTGGCCCCTGGAGCCGTGTAGCTGTCTACAGGGCGCGGGACGGGGGAGCCAGGCCAGAGGAGGAAGGGGCGGCAGCAGGGAAGGCACACACACACACCACACACACACAGACCGGATACAGAGGGACAGGGAGAGAAAGGGCATCGTTAGTCGGACCCACAGCCCCGCTGGCCCTGCCCTGAGGACACCCCCGGGGCCAACATGGCCCCCCATGGCATCGCCAGCAGATGGTGAAGCTGAGTCAGCACCTCCCCCTGGGAGTTCCGGCCTGCCCCCAATCCCTTCCTGCCTCCGACTCAAGCCTCACCCTGCAGGTCAATGATAAGCCAGCCGTCCACCTCATCCTCCTCCGAGACGAAGGCGCTGGGACACTCGGAGTCTTCGGGGGTCGGGGGAGCGCCAAAGAAGAGGCTGGTGAGGCGCTGGAACATGGTGGGGTCCGGGAGCGGCCTCACGGGGGCACCCTAGGGCAGGGCAAAAACCTGGGAAAGAGAGAGGAGTCAGGCTTGGCAGCCAGAAGCTCACCCCCCCTCCTGGCCTGGTACAGAGAGCGCAGGGGTCACCCCTGGTAGCCCCCCAGAGCAGCCATCACCATACAGGAGGGAGGTGTGTGTTTCTGCCATTCAAATCCAAGCTCTGTGACCTTAGAAAGCCATTTAACATACCTGGCTTTCATCCTCTCAACCCTCAAAGGCACCCCACTCTTGGGCACCTTACAAAGAATTAAGGGAGTCAAGTATTTACCAAGTACTTGGAACAGAAATCTCCCATCTGCTGGTTAACTAACCTGAATGCCTACAGCAAGTGGGAACCAAGAGTTCAAATCTCCCACACTGGTGATCGGGACTCAACCACTTAAACCATTACCCAGACAGATCAGCTGCCAAACCAGGACTCAAGCCCAGACAGCACGCTGTGGGATGCGGACAATCCAAGTTATGCCTGACCCCAAGTCCAATGTCAGGGAACTAGTCATGCTTACAGCCTGCAGGGGAACTCTCGGTGTGGACAGATGGAGGGAGGAGTAGGTACAACCAGGCTCTGCCCAGAACGGTGAAAAACAGTCTTTCTCCAGGCACACAATCAATGTCCCCATTGTGCCTGCTTATCATCGTCATAAAGCAGCTAACATTCACGTGCCACGTCCTGCACTCGTAAGTAGCTTTCCTTATCTCACTTCATTCAATTCTCATAACAACCCTAGAACTACAGACAGCCGTTACTATCCCTCTGAAGGAAAGAAGTGGGATTTGAACTCATGCAGTTGGGTGTCTCTGAATTAAGACATGTGTATGTGTGTGTGACACCAGGAGTCATAATCCCTGAGTATTTTTCTGGAAACGTGGACGTTCATATATTTTTCTTAAAGCAAACAGTCCTGGACTCCAGAGATTAAGAATGGTGCCTGGAATTGATGTGGTTTGGAAAGCACCAGCTAGCAGAAATCCCACAAAACTGTGTGAGTAGAGAAGCCTCGGTTCTGCCTGGCAGGTGTAAAGATATTCACACACACACACACACACACCCTGGCTCCCACCCCCCCTTTCCCAGTCTCCTGCTCTGCTCAAGCAGACTAGCATCACCAGAGTGAGGAGGAAAGATCAGGTTCCCAGCACTCAGCCAGTCTCCCCAGGGGAGGGGGAGCAAAGCTGGGGGAGTGCCCTGCCCCAGAAGTGGAGGCAACAAGGTGCTAGGTGCAGAGTTGCCACCAGTTCAAGAATCTACAAGTCTTCAAGAACAGGAGCAGGGCAGGTGCCAGAGCCCTGATTACCCAGAATGCTCATGTCAGGAAAGCCTTAACAAACAGTCCCCAAAAAGGAGGGGGGGCTCACATAGGAAGCGTGATCTCCTGGCCCTCTCTGTCTAGCCAGCCATAAAACATTGGGACTGCTGGCACCAGCATCCAGCACACATGGAACAGGGCACCCACAGTGTCCCAGAGCTGGCCGGGGGGGGGGGGGTAACTGGGGAGGAGCTTCCTGCCCCAGGTCACACAAGTCAATGACAGTGACCGGAGTGAGTGCCGGTAGCTCCAGGCAGTCGGCCAGTGCCCGCCCCCTCTCCTGACCACTGGCCCAGACTCTTGGATTCTCTTTCCCAGCCCTACCAACTTCCTGGTTCTCAGATTCCCAGCTCTGCTCCAGGGAGAACCAGTCCTTTTAATAACCACAGCAGCTGTGCCCAGAATAGCTGGGAAGCCCCAAGCCCCTTTTACCCCAACCCATCCTGAGTACAGCTGGGGCTGCGACCACCCACTTGGGAAGTCGGGAGGTCTCTTCTCCCACCCTTCAACAAGAAGGGGCTGCAACAATCCTGCAACCCCCACAATACACCAGGACCTGTCCCTCCTGACTGACAGCCCTCTGGGAGTTGGTGGGGGGGGGGTGAGAAAGGGCCAATTCAGGGAACTCACCCCACCCTCTACCCAACCAACGTGAGCGCCAGAGGCACCTCCAGACAGCCAATGACTCACTTTTCTGTGGTCAAAACAGCTGGGAGGCAGCGATGGGACTTCAAGTTCCCAGCTGGAACTTGGGTAGCGCTCTTACCACACACACTGTTGCCTGCCCGTGGACAATGCACCTGTCACCCAGCAGGCCCTGGAAACCTCAGCAAGCCAGGGTCCTTCTTTGGACCTCAGTCTCCCTCTGAGGAGACATCAGATAGGATCCAAAACCGTCCATCTGGAGGCTGGCCGCGACGTCAGCTAAGGCGCTGCACAGCAGACCGGGATTAGGGGATGTTGTTTAGTCCTTGAGGGGCGGAGCCTGGAGCGGGGACAGAGGGGATTCTGCCCACCAGCCGGCGCCATCCCGACCACCTGGGGTCCGAGGCCGCCCCCTCCCGCCCCGGATCCCTCTCCCCACTCGACCCAGCTCGGGCAGCGGCACGCTCGACCCCTGTCCGGTGGCAAGAAGTAAGGGGGTCAGTCCTGGGGCGGCGCGTACCCCCCCTTACGCCCGGCCAGCCCGCCGGCGTCCCTCTCACCCACGGCCCAGCCCCGAGACGGCACCCACCGGGTCACCGGAGGACAGGCGACCCGAGCCGAGGGGAGGGGAGGGCAGTGCTGGCCTTGGTGACGACTCAATGTCATATGCAAATGGCCCAACGTCACGGTGTACCGGGCGTGCGGCAGCCAATCGGGAGCCGGGAACGCGGCCCCCCGCGGCCGCCGGAGAAGACAGACAAAGGCCCGGGAGGGAGCAGGGGGGCGCAGGGCGTGTCTGCTCCGTGCGCCCCTCACCGCGATCCCCGGGGCCCTGAGCGCTGCAGGGACTCACCTGGGGACGCGGCGGGCGGAACGGGTGCTGAGGTAGTTGTGCAGCGGGGCGACCCCGGGGCAGCGGCGGTGGCGGCGGGGGATCACCGGCCGGGCTGCATCGCGGGGCGTCCGGCGGGGACACGGAGCGGGGCCGGGCGGCGCGCGCTCGGAGCCGCAGCTGCGCTCGCCCGCGGGGCCCGGAGCCTGTGCGGCCGCCGCGGCCCGGCTCACGCCACAAATTGGAACGTTCAAACAGCTGATGGTGACGTCACAAAGGGGCCGCCCGCCCCGCGTCACGGCCCGGCTCCCCGGCGGCCAATCCCAAGCTGCACCACCACCAACCCCGACCGACACACACACACACACACCCAAGGCCCGGCCCCCTCTGCAGATAGCCGGCTGCAGAACAAGTGGCTCCTGCACCCGAGTCGGTGCTGGGAGCCTCGGGGTCCACGCCCCGCTGACCGCTGCCCAGCGGCGACGCGACGAGCACGGTGCCCATGCTTTCCTCTGGGGTGACCTTGGCCTTGCATGGTGGCCACAGGTGCCCTGTCCCTCGGCCGGCCGTGGCGTCCTCTGCTTGCAGCCCGTATCCGAACTCCCCCTCCCCGCTCCCTGACGTCACACCAGTCCGGTGCACCTGCTTTCCCCCTGCCCTTCATCACAGCATCCGCTGACCTGGAAACCGGCACTGCGCGGCCACTGAAATGCTTCCTCACTTTGTTTAGTCCACGTGGCTTCTGGGGCCACCCTTCACACACACACACCTTTGCATACAGAGACAGTGAGGAGTACAGATGTCACCGTTCGTGTGTGCATTCACATCCATTTATGCACTAGCATGGGCCGGGCAGCTACTATCACCGCTGCCACACTGCCAGCCCACACTACTAGGTCATTTAATGCCGGACACTACGATATGGTGGTTCCAATATGGTTTTTGTGCTCCACAACCAAGAGTAGGGGTTAACCCCATTTTGCCATTAAGGAGAGGAGACGAGCCGTGAGCATAAGTGACTTCCAAAAGTAATTAAGCTATAGACAAATTGGGAGTCAGGATTTGAACCAGGGACTAGCTTGGTGGTATAGCAGGTGAAACGTCCTGTTACCTGGTTCAAGTCCCGGCTGCTCCAGTTCTGATCCAACTCCCTGATAAGGCCTGGGAGAGCAGTGGAAGATGGCTCAAGAGCTTGGACTCCTGCGACACTGCTTGGGAGACTGGGATGAAGCTCCTGGTGCTTGGCGTCCACCAGAACTGGCCCTGGCCATTTAGGCAGTGAACCGGCAGATGCAGGGTTGTCTAGCCTGCCCCTCTCATTGTAAATCTTTCAAACACGTCTTTAAAAAAAAAAAAAAAAGGGCCTGGCACGGTAGCCTAGTAGCTAAACTCACAGGATCCCATATAGACACTGGTTCATGCCCTGGCTGCTCCACTTCCTATCCAGCTCCCTGCTTGTGACCTGGGAAAGTAGTGGAGGATGGCCCAAAGCCTTGGGACCCTGCACCCAAGTGGGAGAACTAGAAGAAGCTCTGGCTCCTGGCTTTGGATTGGCTCAGCTCCGGTAGTTGCAGCCACTTGGGGAGTGAGCCAGCAGATGGAAGGTCATTGTCTCTCCTCTCTGTAAATCTGACTTCCTAATAAAAATTAATCCTTTTTTTTTTAAAAAGGCAGAGTTACAAATGGAGATAGAAACAGAAAGAGGTCTTCTAACCACTGGTTCACTCCCCCAATGGTCACAGCAATTGAAGCTGAGCTGTTCTGAAGCCAGGAGCCAGGGACCTTCTGGATTTCCCATCTGAGTGCAGGTATCCAGAGACTTGGGCCATCTTCCACTGCGTTCCCAGGAACATTAGCAGGGATCTCATCCTGTCGCAGAGGGGACACACAGTTGGTGTCACAGGGTCATTCATCTCCTGACCCACAGTCCTCTGGAGAAATGTGCAAAATAAATAAATAAATAAATAAATAAATAAATAAATAAATAAATAAATAAAGGACACGTTCCTCCACCTTGTGTCTTCCTACTGAACCCACAGCTCCTGATCCTGACCCACTCCAGTGTCTCCATGCACATGTGGTCTAAACCTCAGGATGCGCCAACCCTCCCAGGGAAGATATGAGTTTCTGGCCTAACTTTGTCCCAAACTTGCCATATGACCTCCTGGGATGGCTGCTTCAACTGTCAGCTTGCCACGACCAAGCTGCCTTCTAGAGTAGATACTAAAATTCTTCCAAACCCTCTATTCTGAGGATTCCACCAATCCCACACGCCGGGCTCTACCTCTCCGGCGGCCTGGGCGATGCCTGGGGAAAGACCACGGGTGTTCCCCTTTAGCCTACCCACGGTGAGAGGCTCTGGGTCGGCTCTCAGCAGAGCTGCGCGGGGAGGGCCTGAGAGCTGCCCACCAGGCCCAGGCTGGGAGCTGCTGCGGAGAGGACTCTGTGCTCCAGTGGACAAACCCTGACCCAGCCCCCTGTCTGACACTGCTGAAAGACTCCTCCGCCTTGAGCAAGCAGGGGAAGGAGGCAGGAAGTCCTACTTGGAGATTTCCGCAGGAAGGGGAGGAGCATCATGTTCCTAGGGCTGATGTCCCCAAGTGTCCTCATCCGTGTGTCCCGGAGCCTCTACCCGTCACAGCCGCTTCCTGGTAACCTTGTGTGTCTTCTTGTGACCTCCTGGTTGATTTAAACAAAACAACTGCTCACATAGCTCTCCCGTCACACCGCTGTTTGGCTCTCAGGCGTTCTGTAGCTGGCTGAGTGGCTCGCTGCTCACAAGACAGGCATGGCTTCCCAGGATCCAGAGACGGTTCTCTCAAGAGTCAGCTCCCCTTCTTCTGTGGACACCCTGCCTTCAAGTCACACACCACTCTTCTTCCTGCTCAAGCCATTTCCCCTGCCTGCACTGCCCTCGTAAGACATTGTGGATAGCCAGTCTTCCCTTTGTTAGCAGTCTATACACCCCTTCTTCTCATAAACAGGCATGATGAGTAAGTGTGTGTATGTGTGTGTGTGTCTTTCCAAGTGGACATCTGACATTACAGAGGCAGGGTTTCTGTCCATTTGCTGCTAGCGTGGCCTGGCACAAAGTGGACCATGACCATGATCAAAGGCTCAGCATCTGCCTGAGGCTCATGGAGGGGTGGCTGGTTCCAGAGCCTGCCTCCGCTCACTGCCTACTCAGGTGTAGCTGGTGTTTGCTCAGGGACGGCTTGTGTGTTCTCAGAGGAGATGCTGGGCTTGTGGCTCGTAGCCTAACCTTCCTGGAGTTTATTCCCAGCACCAGGTGGTTCTTGTAGGTCTGATGGCAATCACCCATCAAGGATACTCACGAAAGTATGGGAGGGGTACCCAAGGAAGTGAGGGAAGGAGGGAGGGGGCTGGAGCCTAAGGGAGTCCATTCCCTGGGACCCCTGCCTCCTCTCCATTATGAGGGCTGGAGGAGAGCACAGATCCCCCATTTCATAAGGGGGACCCTGAGGCATGCAGAAGCTCTAAAGCAGCAGAGCCGTCTCTCCTGGCCCTGGTCCAAGGGAAGGGACTTTGGCCTGAACCTGGGGACTCTAGGAAGAGGAAGTGGGCATTGTGCTGGGGGCAATTCTAGGATCTCAATCACAATCAGACGTAGGGTGTCAATCCCGGGTGCATCCTGAGTACCTGTATGCAGACATCCAAGACTACACATGAAGACACCCAGCACCAAGTACACACAACGCACATGAACTCGTGTTGGTCAGGTTAACAGATGCCCATGCTCAACAGTGAGCACCTGTCCAAGTTTATGGACACCATGATGAGAGGTCAAAAGGCCACCCTTCTACTCCCAGGGAGGCTTCGGGCTCGCCCTCACCGTGCCCTCGGGGCTCCCCGCTGGCGTGGGGCCCACCACTTCAAAGGGCAGAGATGTGTCAGCCTGGGCGCGTCCCTCACGGGACCTTGCATGTGCTTGCGGGAATGAGCCAGGCTGTGTGTGCGGGCTGCCAGCCAGCTCACCGCTCACCCCGCCTCCCCCAACTCTGGCCTCAAGATAGAGGGCGGGACTGAGAGGATGCACTCACGGTAAACAATATAGTCTTCCTATTTTACTGGGAAGGAAATAAAACGAGGCCACGGCTAAATCGGTGACGTCACGAGGCCAACCGAAATTCCCAAATTCCCCCATCAGAGGTGCCTATACCTTGATGCGTTAACTTGACAGGCAGAGAGCGAAACAAAGAAAAGATCTTTCATCTGCTGGCTCACTTCCCAAATTCCTGCAACAGTCAGGAGTGGACACGATCAAAGCCAAGAGTCCAGAACTCTGTCCGGATCTCACATGTGGCTCAAGTCTTTGGACCATCATCCACTGCCTTCCAGGGTGCAGAATAGAAAGTAGAATAGCCAGAACCCAAACAGCCCTCTACTCTGGGACGTGGGCTTCCCAAACACGCCCTTAACCCGCTGTGCCATGATACACAGGCCTATTTCTTAACCAGGGGCCACTTTCCAAGAACTTCTCAAAAAGATTTGTTGTTCAACTTTCTGAATTTGAGGGTAACTGGGGTGTGAAGGAGTGTGCATGCAAGGAGGGGTGTGTGTACACCAAAATGACACTGCTTTGATCGTCAGGAAATCCAGGTTCCAATCCTGCTTCTGTCCTAGGTTTACTGCCTGACTATGGGCACATTTTTTTCTCGCAGCCTCAGTTTTCCCAACTGTACAATGGCTGGCTCAGTGCTTGCTTCAGTTCCTCTTTGTCTAGCGCTCCCTCCGGGCATTTGGAGTTGTTGTTTGTGTGAGCTGTTGCTTAATGCCTGTGTCTGTGCGGAGACAGTCAAGGTCAGATTCACTTCAGAGAGGGGTGGAGGGAAGAAGCAAGAAGCCAAAAGCCCGGCTGTGTTGAGCTGTCTGCCTGCCTGCAGTGTGAATGAGGCTGGACCAGGTGCGTGTCTGTGTCGGGAGGAGTCCAGGGGCAAGTACATGAGTGTGGGCGAGACCTTGGTGAGAGACTGCCATGCCAGAAGTGCCCTGCATGGAGCCCCACCCCCACACTTACAACTTTGGAAAAGAGGGGGTTGCATCCTGTGCACCCATGGGTGGTTAGCAGAGAGCTTTGGGACCACACAGGGGCAGGA